GGGACGGCTTCTCAGACTCCGACAAGGAAGACGACGAGGAGTCAGAGGAAGAGGGCGCGTCCCAAGCGGCGGTCAAGCCAGCACCCCCTAACTCAGGAACACTTTCCAGCAAGGCCGCGATGTTCTTCGATCAAGACATTTTCCAGGATCTGGGTGACGTCGACGACGTTGAGGACGAGGACAGCGCGATTGAAATGCAGGAGGACGATAGATCCGCTAAGAAGGAGTCTGCGTCGGAGAAACAGGCGCCCAAGGATGCAAAGAAAAACACACAGGCCACTGAGGACTTTTCAGATAGCGAGCCTGAAGAGCTTGACGACCCACGGAAGAAGAACGGCCAACTCGGTATGTTTCCACAAGTAGGTACCTTCCGGATGGAGTTACTAACATTTTTCAAACGTCAGATATCGACATCATCACCGCAGAAGCCATGGCGCTTGCCCAGCAAATGGCCACTGGTGAAAAGAAGTCCCAGGACATTGTTGATGACGGTTTCAATCGGTACGCGTTCCGGGATGTTGACGGTCTCCCCGAATGGTTCCTCGACGACGAAAACAAGCATTCTAAGCTCCAACGGCCTATCACGAAGGCGGCTGCAGCCGCAATCAAGGAAAAGCTGCGTGCCATCAATGCTCGACCCATCAAGAAGGTGATGGAGGCTAAGGGCCGTAAAAAGATGAAGGCTGCACAGAGACTCGAGAAACTGCGCAAGAAGTCTGCTTTGCTGGCAGACGACGAAGCACTCAGTGAAAGGGACAAGTCGCAGGCCATTGCGAAGTTGATGAGCAAAGCGGTCAAGAAGAAACCCAAGCAGCAGGTGAAGTTGGTTGTTGCTAAGGGAGCCAACAGAGGTATCTCCGGTCGTCCACGCGGAGTGAAGGGCAAATACAAGATTGTGGACTCGCGTATGAAGAAGGATCTCCGGGCTCAAAAGAGATTGGCGAAGAAGAAGAAATAGACGGACAGCAAACTATGTGTACGATATTGGCATTTTTCAATCATACTCGCACACATACGACCTACAATTTGATACCCTCGGGGCTGGCTTTAATTCAGCAGAAAAACAGCGACAACTATAGGTTTTACCTGAATGGTGACGTTAATTCACATGTTCTGGTCCTGCATGTATGTTAGCGTTCACCTTCAAAAAGGAGTAGCAACCTGGTCAAGCGACAGTCAGCAGTGAATTGTTGATACTATGCCTTTAAAAGTGGTGAAGACCCCACAGTTGTGGGGATGGTGCATGGATTGTGCATAAATAGTGAATACTGATGTACGCACTAATCCTAATATAGAAATTCTTACCCGCAGTGGCAATTGTCAAGGAACTTAAGTGCCTTAGGGCCTGAGGCTATCAGCGGATGACTTGATCATCTGTCTTGGCCGCTCACTTTTCGTGGCTCTTCTTCCCTTTTTCCTTGTGCTTTGGTACTCATATACTTCCAAGTCTTTTTTCCCTCTATTTATTTGCATTGCATTCTTGTTGATCATTCTTGTCTATGGAGCTTTTGCATTTGAACTCCATATCATAGCGTGTGCTATTGCCTTCTTTGTCCATATTTTTACACACGTCAACATATTTTCACCTCCCCGCCCAGACCGATTCCAGTTCGCTAACTCCGCTCCATGGGATTTTTCGATCACCTCCAGAAAGGAGGCGCTTTTTCACTGCAGGCTCAAAAGCCACAGATTCGTAAGGTTGTCCAGAGCCGGCCCGCGCCGCCCTCAAGATCTTCCTCGCACACCCCCATCAGATCATCGTCGCAGACCTCGCCCCCGGAGAAGACCAAAAGGCTGCGAGACTCCACTAGGCGGTCTGTTTCAGAAGATCCTGATCATCACCCATCGAAGCGTTTAAGTACCCCCTTGCGAAATAGGAAACGGCCAACTCCTGAGCAACGGCTCTCGAGTGACGACGATGACGCAAGTGATACGGATACATCATTTGAGTTGCGCAAGCGGGCTAGAACGGAGGATAGTGCGGAGCCTGACCTCGCGAGGCGCATACGGTCCTTGAAAGCATTTTCGGAGGAGAACGCTAGGCCACTGCCGTTGGTCCACGCTGCAGATATTACATCCAAGCAAAAAGCCGGAAACTTCAAACGAGCGTTTGGTGGGGCGGACCGGCCGACAGAGATTCTCCTGCAGTATCCTAGTGCTTCACTGAAAGAAAGGTGCGCACTTCAGGTCTAGGAATATCCATAACCCTGTCTAACTGTTTGATTTGGTGTAGATTTAACCTCGTCGTGCCCCGCGACAACGATGATTTCAAGCCTATTGATGATATCGTTCATGTTATCGACACCGTTTCCGAGAACTATATTCCTGAGAGTGAGGCGGATTTTTTCAACAATGAGTCTACAGGTATCAAACGGAGGTTGCGTCGGGCTTTGGCACATGCGTCCGAGACGGAATTTCGAGAAGCTGTGGCGGACTACAACCATGAGATCGAACGGTTAAGACGTAGTGGGGTCATTGCTAAACATTTGGACGCGACACATCGGTTGAACCTGCCGCTGGTAGAGAGGATATTGACACAGATTTACGCGCGTACAGTTTCTCCCCGCGTTGAATCTCTTCGCCGGTATGAAAACGGAACAGACAATGTCTACGGGGAGCTCCTGCCTCGGTTCATCAGCACAATCTTCAAAGAGACTCGACTAAAATCGGGACAAGTCTTTGTCGATCTGGGATCTGGGGTTGGTAACGTCGTTTTGCAAGCTGCGCTTGAAATTGGATGTGAAAGTTGGGGTTGCGAAATGATGGCCAATGCTTGTGACCTGGCAGAACTTCAGCAGACCGAGTTCAGAGCACGCTGCCGGCTCTGGGGTATTGCGCCAGGGAAAACACACCTTGTCCGCGGCGACTTTCTGCAAGAGCAAAGCATCATTGATGTTCTGAAACGCGCAGATGTTGTTCTGATCAATAACCAAGCCTTTACTCCTCAGCTCAACAATGAGATTATCAATCACTTCTTGGATATGAAGGAGGGCTGCCAGATTGTGTCACTCAAGTCTTTTGTTCCTGCCGGTCACAAGATTCAGTCTCGCAATCTGTACTCCCCGATCAACCTTTTGAAGGTCAAGCAGTTGAATTACTGGTCAAACAGTGTCAGCTGGACTGACGTTGGGGGCACATATTTCATTGCCACCAAAGATAGTTCCAGGCTCAAGGCTTTTGCGGATAGCATGGAATAAGTGAACTCGATCACGGCATCACGATTGGTTTCATGACCGTTGCATGGCATTACGATTAAAGGTGCACAACCCTGGCATTATCTTGCCTTTTTGACATTTTGATTTTTGTGTCAATATTTTCGCATTGGGTACCCCCCGTATATATCAGCATGTCTGTTGACATTCTCTCGGGTCATGCCTTGGAGCAATGAGTTTTCTTTTGGAAATATTCTCCTTCGTTCTGTGATACCTTTTTGTTATGATGATTCACCATCCTTTTTGGCATACGCCATCATTTCCATCGCAAGATGGCCTTCATGTCATATTCCATGTGCGCGAATCTTGGGGGCGAAGGCCAATCCTCAACCACTGTCTGCGGTGGCTCTGGCGAGCCAGATTGACTTGAAGGTGGACTCTCGGATACCATTTTTGTGTGAATAGATAAGGGTTAGATCGGGACGAATCAATTTTATGTACATAGAACATTGTTAACCGGGGCTGGTATGTTGAAGCTGGGAGCTCTTCTTGAAACTTTGAAACCCCTAGGTAAACGAAGAGGACTTGGTCCATATCACCCGGTTGCTGATGCAGCTCAGGAGAATTTCGAGGCATCATTCATGGCCTCTGCTTCTCTGCCAATCCTGGCCATCCAGCGATCAATCAGCTCCTGGTTCTCACGCTGTAGCCTGCCGGACCGCTCTTCGGCCATGTTAAGCTGCAGATTTAGAGTCGCGAGCTCGTCTTGGAAGTCCTATGAAATGATCGTGTCAGCAAAGAAACCGGCGGCACGGCGGATGAATGAATAACATGCCTCAAGTAACTTAGCCTTCCCCTTCAATTCTTCATCCCTATCTTTTACGCGCATTTGTAGATGAGTTACCTCACTCTCCAAAGTGTGGATACGTCGTCCATCTTGCGTGCTTCTCTTCCGTAGCTTCTCCAACTCGGTGCTCAGCTCAGTCAGCCGGGCCTGCAACTCCGAACGGGCCCGTTGGGCTTCGGAAAGATCCGCACGTGTAGCAGCTAGAATATCAGGAACAGATGGGCCTGTCAACGACTTCCCAGTTGCAGGGATCGCTGTATGTTTGTCTCCAGCCCCTGTGAGATATTGGGCCCCTTGAGTTCCGGCGAATGCAATTCGACTAGTTCGATCGGCCAGCTGCGTATCTAGTCGTTGACAGTGTGTTAGATTATCACCTTACAATAGCTTCGCAGTTGCCAGGCCATAGACCTTATCCAGTAGCATACAAGCATTATAGAGAACGATATTTGCCTTTTCTCGGCGATCGCGAGCCGCCAGAGCGGCGGAGTACTCATTCCTCCAGTGAGCCATGTGATAGTCTTCCAGCGATGAGGCGGGAATGTTGACAGCGGTTCTTGTAGGGTTACGAATACATTGTTAATCCTGTAGATAGCGCAGATCAGAAGGGGACAGTGAAATGATATACAACCCTCAACATGGAGTCTTCTACTACGGCGACATTTTATGGCAAGCAATGAATGGTCGCTGATAAGCAACGATAACGAACAATGTCTCAGGCACCCTTCTACACCGCCTCGCCCACCGCTCGGGCCATCATGCATCATCCAACCCAACGGTCCCAGTTAGCGTCAGCTCATCACTGCAAGACCCAACAGCTGCGCTGCTAACTGTTGCTGCTCCTCATCTCTGCTACACACGTCCAGTCTGCCTTTACCCTTTTGCCTTTTGAGGACTGCAGATTTTCTTACCCTTCTCTGGGACTTCTGCGCTTTTGACAAGCTTTCCGCATTTCCCTTGTCTTTTGCTAGGAATACCCTACCTTTCCCCCGCTCCCGACCGCCATGGCGTCACGCAAAAAGGTCTTGCTGAAGGTACATCTTCCTCAACCCATACGACAGTCAAGGCTCTTGATATTGCTGAGCATTTACTTACGTACATTTGGGGATCCTAGGTCATCATTCTGGGCGACAGTGGTGTCGGCAAAACGAGCTTGATGAACCAATATGTCAGTGGTCTCATTTCGGCCATTGATGGATATCCTCCAAACCGCTAACCTCCGTCCGATCGGTAGGTCAACAAGAAGTTCAGTGCAAGCTACAAGGCCACTATCGGCGCCGACTTCCTTACGAAAGAGGTTCTCGTAGACGATCGTCTAGTAACAATGCAGGCATGTGTACCACCCATGGCTCGCACATTCGCCAAGGATTGCAATTAACCTGTGGATAGATCTGGGATACTGCGGGTCAAGAGCGATTTCAGTCTTTAGGTGTTGCATTCTACCGGGGTGCGGATTGCTGTGTTCTGGTATACGACGTGAATAATTCCAAGAGCTTCGAGGCTCTCGACAGTTGGCGCGACGAATTCCTCATCCAAGCGAGCCCTCGCGACCCAGAGAGCTTTCCTTTCGTACGATCCTCCCATGCCCCTCCCTGACTTCTGATGTGCAAATGGGCAGATGTTGACCAGTTTGCAGGTTGTGATCGGCAACAAGATTGATGTGGAGGAAAGCAAGCGGATGATTTCTTCGAAACGCGCCATGACTTTCTGCCAATCCAAGGGCAACATCCCTTACTTCGAGACCAGTGCTAAGGAAGCAGTCAACGTGGAGCAGGCTTTCGAGGGTATGTGACCAATTTTCGCTTGAACACGAGCAGAGAACGCTGTGCTAATATGCTAGAAGTCATCGCCCGAAGCGCCCTGGCTCAAGAAGAGGCTGAAGAGTTCAACGGCGAATTCAGCGATCCCATCAACATCCACCTCGATAGTGACCGTGATGGTTGTGCCTGTTGATGCGCTTCTAAATGGCCATGACCTTTGAACGATTTACAGCACCGCTGCTATTCTTGATTCATGCATGTTGTGCGTTTGTAGTTTGTAGAGCTGTTTCTGTCTTCGTTCCATTTGGCGAGCTTGGAGGATTGTACTTTCTACGATAGTTTGGGATCCATATATACCTTCAAGGTTCCTCGGTGTACCAAGTTGTCTGTTTCCTATTGTCTGTCGGGTCGCAAAGGGTATCATATGGGTTTCGAGCTTTTTGACTCATTCTTTTCTTGCTTATCTTGTCTGTGATAACCTCTGCTTTTTCGACAGCATACTCAATCAATCAAGAGTCACGCACATAATCCTGCTGCACGTGCACTTTTTTCTTGTCGCCCCTATCTTAATTACAAATATGAGATTTGACTTTCAGCGCAAGAAGAAGGAAAAAAGGTACAGGTATGGCAGCCGTGATCAAGTCTTGTGCTTATCAGCGCAGCTCGTGATGCTTGGCATATATTCCCCTTCTTCGGGATCATCGCATATCTCCTGGATCGGAATGAATCCCCGCTTCAAGGCGCTCACACTGAAACACTACGGACCAGGCCATCCGCCATCGACACCGCCTGTTGTCAAATGTGATTTATGGACTCGTGCCTGCATCCTAGCATCGGCGCGCCACGATTTGCAGGATATCGTGCTCCATGATCCGTAATCACAAATAGGTCTAATCGGTCTAATCGGTCTAATCGGTCGGGTACCTTCAATCAATGACCAGGCCCCTCGTCGCTCGTTTCCTTCAGCTTATCTTTATGAAAGTCGTTCTGTTCCCCATAAGTCGTTGAATCCTACAATTTGGCCATGAAGACATATACTTGGCATGGTCCCAGCTGGACTGGGGCCGCAAGACGGTCGCTGGGCATCTGCCTCCTTCTACTCGTGGTGGTCTTGTGGACGGCTTCGAACTTTCTGGCCAGTGTATGTGAATCTCGAGAAGAGTCATCCGAAATGATCCTATCCGATGCTGCGCATCTGGGACTTCGTTATGGCTGGTGTCCCGCTACACGCGTGCTAACTGTACACTTTCCATCTCTTTTAGACCATCTTCGCGGATAATTCATACTCGAAACCGTTCTTTGTGACCTACATTAACAGCTCACTATTCATTATTCCTCTCATCTCAATCATTCTGGGCAGACTATTCAAACTATGGCGCCAGGGTAGATTGTCTCAGATCGATTCTATTCAGAGCCTCTTGCTCCATCTTGATTCCCACGATTCGAAGCCCGAGGCGCCCGACGTGCTGCAATCCTCTTCCGCAGATAGACAACAGAGTGAGAATGAAGTTGATGGCTCTATCAGGCTGGGCTTGAGGGCGACTGCGAAACTGAGCTTCCAATTTTGTCTATTATGGGTAAGAATCGGCTCTGACTACATCTTTCATATACAAACTGACAGGCTTGAATAGGTCCTTGTAAGTTAACTTCTGCCAACATAACAGCTTTGAGCCGGCGCCTGACTTGTACAGGCGAATTATTTCGCAATGGCCTGCCTTCAATACACAACAGTTGGAAGTACCACCATCCTGACTTCAACTAGCGGTACGTACTCAGCAATCGCACAGAGATCGATTGATAGATGCAGGCTAACACATCCTTTTAGGAGTCTGGACCCTCATCTTCGGCGCAATGATCGGGGTGGAACGGTTCACCCTCCGCAAACTCGCCGGCGTTATTGCTTCACTGATCGGAATCATCCTCATCTCCCGAGTAGATCTGTCGTCAACGGACTCCCCGCCCGCAGATGATGACAGTTCCGGTACCTTCCCCCACAAGACGACCGCCGAGATCGCCCTCGGCGACGCGATGGCCGCATTCAGCGCGGTCATGTACGGCGTGTACACTATCGTCCTGAAAAGGCAAGTCGGCGATGAGTCGCGGGTCAACATGGTGCTGTTCTTCGGGCTAGTGGGACTCTTTAATATGCTCTTTCTCTGGCCGGGATTCATCATCTTACATGTCACCGGGATCGAGCCGTTCGTCCTCCCTGACACTGGGAGAATATGGACTATAGTGCTGGTAAGAAATATGTCGAGCCCATAACATGACACTGGCGCCATCATGGACTGACGTTTGCATTCTACAGGTAAATTCATTCTCATCATTAGTGTCAGATATATGTTGGGCGTATGCGATGCTCCTGACTACCCCGCTTGTTGTGACTGTCGGGCTGAGTCTGACCATCCCGCTTTCGCTTGTGGGTCAAATCTTCCTGCAGGGACAGTATTCGAGTGCAATATACTGGGTTGGTGCCGCTATAGTGTTTTTGTCGTTCCTGGTGGTCAACCATGAGAGTCGGGATGATAAGCTGGAGGCAACCTCGGCGGCCGGCTACGATGCTGTCCCTGGCGACGAGACAGGCGATACCGCTTGATGAAGAGTTTCCATATGGTTTGGGCTAGATTTGAAACCTTTTACGTCTTCATATATCGTTATCCTTGATAGACAGAAGACGAATAATGCATTAAAATTATTAGACATCATACAGCCAGGGTGTAACAATAATCAGACACTGATTTCCATCGTCCGTTGCCAGTGGAACAACGCCGAGAGGCAGAAGCAAGGAAAATATCAGAAGGAACGAGATCATTATGGTACAGCAAAAGAATTCAAGACTGGTTGGTCATCACAAATTGCCATGACTCGACAATGTTGAGTAGTCTCAGTATCCCATGAGAGCAATACAAGAAGGAATGACAAAAAGGAGGAAAAAAAGAACAGCCATCACAGGAAGGGGTATGTACGTCATGAAACAAATATGATAGCAAGGAAGAGACGCTGTGCAAAGGGGAGGACCTTAGATCACTTGAGACCTGCAAGGAGAGAAATGGTCGAAATGAAAGGAACGAAAATTGAAGTGAGCCAGCAGCCAGCATATGATTTTGCTTGTCGCCATCAAAAATTAATATTTATGGTGCTGATGCTGCTGGCGCAGGCTCCAACTTCTTGCGCGCAACAAGAATACTTTTCAAGGAGCCTAACCACTTGGCAAGAGATTCTTCGTCAGGTGCGCATAGTCGGTATGATTTGTCCTCGGCGATTATCTGAAGACAGAACTTCTTTGATCGTGAAAGAGGGTCAACTTCGGCAGCTTCGATGACCTGAGACATGGGCAGGATTTTGATAGCGGAGTACTCCTAGTCGTCAATGTTAGCTTGTTGTCGAGTCACACTTAAGAAAATATCGTATAGGGCTATCGTACTTGTTCATCCTTATAGAACCCAAGGCTCTTTGGTCTCAAGACGACCCACAGACGCTTCCACTGGCGCACCGTGCCTTTGATTCGAAGGCACTGGAGATAGCCGTTGCAAATAACTCTCTCTGGATCGCGGAGGATTCCCAAGTCCTGACTGCGACCAACATCTCGCTGTTGGAGTTGTTGTCCACCCGCAGGGGCTGAGGTAGACAAATTCTGCAGGGAACGGTTGGGCTTTATGTGGGTACTGGTGTTGCTTGCAGGCCCATCAGACCACTCCGAATAGGAAGTAATCTCATTTCCCGAGTGGTCTTGTAAGGAGCCGTATCGATTGGAATAGCGGCCAGGTGAAAGTGACCGTCCCAATTCAGGCGAGCTTGCTCTTCCCGGATATTCAAATTCCGAGTGATCTGTAGTATCCTCGACATGCTGCCTATTAGTTGCGGTCACATTTCTCTTCCGCGACAGAGCCAAGAAGGCTTCTTCTTCCTCGTCCGCGCGAGTTTCAGCACGAATACGTCTGATCCAGTCCTCTGCATCCTTCTCCGACAATGCCTGGAAGCGGTAATTTTTGGACGGCGAGAATATACCAAAGACGTGTTGTCGAGACGATCGCGGGGATCTAACAGGAGCAACCGCAGTGACTTCCGAAAGAGTTATGGAAGCCCGAAGTCTTGTCGCTTCCTCATCCTTATACACTGAGAGGAGGTTCGGGCGGAGGACGAGGTAGGCAGGCTTCCAAGAAGCTCGGAATGCCTGGAAGGAGATATTAGTTAGGACATAACAAAAGCGCTTCTGTATCGAAAGCGACTTACATGCTTGTGTTTCACTCGCCGATGCACCTTCCCAGTTTTTAGGACTCGATCGAATTCAAAGCTACCATTTTCGTTGACTGGAGAAAATGTGTCCAAGTTGACATGGCCATTGCGAAAGGCGGGGGAAGGGTGTATAGGCCGTAAAAATGTTGACTGCTGGACAGTGCCGTCGGGAAACTGTATCGAGGGGGCTTTCGTATGCGCCTCCGAGATAGGCGGGCAGGAGCTCGACATTGTTTGTTCCATCGTGGTCGCAGACTTCCTTTCGAAGGGACAAAATTGAGACTATGAGAAATCGCGGAGGGTTTAGTATGGAGACCACATGCCCAGGCCGCAAGTTGAAGCGAAAAGGTGCCTATGATGAGGATCCTAATTCAAAATTGTATGTCCACATCTGAAAAGACACTGCGGGACAGGTCCCTATGAAATACAAGACGAGCACCTGAGAACGTAGGCAGAAACGATGGGAATATTTCTGACTAGTTCCCAGGTGAAGGGCAACTTTCTGTGTGATTGTCTGAGAGGCAAGATAATTGACGAGACAGTGTCACAAGGACCGACGTCCCTCAGACTTCTTAGGAGGGGTGAAATTAACCCCGAATCGAACGAAATTAAGATGCGGCGATGACGGTCGTGTGGAGAAGGAGACCAAAGAAGGTGCAGAATGCGCTGCACTTATGAGGGACGACACTCTCTTATTTTCAAGGTTGTTTGTTGAGAAGAGCTGTAGGTAACGAGGAAACGTATCGGGGAACAATTACCCTTTCTCGAAGTAAGTTCCTCCATCACAGTCCCATGGAACGCATGGGCGGCTTTTAAATGAGTACTTGGTAGATCATCCGACAAGGAGATGCTTCGAGTTTCTGGGACGTCGGGTGAAGCTACTACTAACTACTAAGGAGTAGACTACTACCTACTTGAGGTGAGGGCGGCAACTCCCTCCAGTCCTGAATCAAGCTCTGTTTCGAATCGACTCCTTTTCGACTGGTTGATTGGACTTGAATCTGCTTCGCCATCAGATCTTCACATACAGACCCGAGGGTATGCTTTTTATTCCATCGCAAGATTCACTGATCTGGTATAGAATCAACCTGTTTTGAATGAACCTCAACGCTACTTACTCTTCTTCACACTTCAGTATCGGCTGTCCTTGTCTTTTCAGGGGCGCATGCCTTTTCCTATGCATAAGTGGTGCTTGATTCGGTAGTAATAGCTTATTACAAGAGTAGGCTGGTTACTAAATAGACGATTTTAGTGGTCGACGGAAGATGGTTTTATTGCATATGACCCCTTATTGTTCGATTCTGAATGTAAGTATTTCACCTACCTACCTGAGTGAAAATATGGGTAAATTATTAGATCGCTTTTATGACAGAGAATAACAAATCATTTCATTCCAACTCTTGGAATTGAAGATTCGAGCTTGTGTTCGAACTCTGAGGACCGCACACTAAGTTTTAACTACGATTTCTAAAAACAACGACGTACTAGCAACGGTCCAGACCCTTCGCTGTTAGAATTAAAAAAAGGGAGACGAAAGAGGCCACCTTGACAGACTTAGACCAAAGGTCACGTGTGGATCAGAAGCGTTCGACTTCAGGGAGGTACCCGTACCTGAGGTTTATATCTTCTCCATAGCCTATTACCGTCCCTTTTGCTTAATGTACTTGAAATACCAAATCATAAGGTATGGTAAGGTATGGTGGGTGAGGTAGGTACAGGTACCTGGTGATGAACTCCTAAGAACCCTTCGATCGCGACTGTCATTACCTTACATTTCTTTTCTGTATCATTGAGCTGGTACTCCATCATGAGCACGCCTGCCTTTAGGAGTACTGTAATTGAGGGAGGACTTTCTTGAGATGATAGTCTTCAGGAAAACGCACGCACTCGCTACGCACTACTCGCTGGCATGCCAGAATTGTAGGAGAATCTGCTGATCAGTAATAATACGTCCTCGAGGTACTCTGTACTCCCTTGTGCCTCTGTAATTATCAGTGCTGTTGGCGAGTTCATATGCGACTACATATGCATGCTTCATAGGTTAAATTGCCAATCAACTGATTATCAAATCTCCATAATTGCCTGCATGGAAAGTACGGAGTATCATGCGCTATGTACTCCGAGAGGTGCGAGGTTGGACATCTGGATAGAACCAATGCGATCTTCTATAGGACTTCTCGCGATCAGAGAAAAAGGGTGATGTTGATGTCTCGAATTGCGGCTCTATAATTATCAGTTATCGACGAATCTTATTCATCTCATCATTGATACGAATAACGTAATGACTCAGTACCTTGGTGATCTGATACCAAGGTAAAGTAGTAATCTGCTGCGAACTGAGAAGAGTCGAAGAAAATTGCCTGTACCTTAGCTTAGTTAACTACCTAAACTAAGTTAACTAACGTAATCAACCACCGAGCGACGAATACCCCCGAGCGACGAATTTCTCCCTGGGTCAACCACTTCCTTTCTTTAATGCGTTCTTTTATCATCACCACTATTAAAAATGCCTTTATCTCAAGAAAATCGGATACAAATGGCAATTGCAGCCATTAAGAATAAAAAAATTAAGTCAGTACTAAGCGCTGCAGAGACCTTTAGCGTGCCTGAGCCTACCCTTCGCGCTCGCCTCAATGGAAGAAAACCACGCTCAGAAACACGTGCCAATGGCCATAAATTAACAGCTCTGGAAGAAGAAGTTCTTACCAAGCGTCTACTAGATGCAGATAAACGGGGCTTTTCAATTCGACCAGAGTTCCTACGTGGAATGGCGCAGATATTACTCCATGAGCGTACACAGGATCCTACCGCAACCATTGGTGTCAACTGGGCATATAAGTTTATTAAACGCCATCCAGCCCTTCGCACACGATATAACCGGAGGATTACATACCAGCGTGCAAAGCAGGAGGATCCAAGGGTTATAAAACAGTGGTTTACAACTGTGCATGAGGCTATTCAAGAATACGGCATCCATGAGGATGACATCTGGAACTTTGATGAGACTGGCTTTGCAATGGGACTCTGTACAACTTCTAAGGTTATCACTGCAGTGGATCGCAGTGAGAGACCCCGTACTATCATTCAGGGTAACCGCGAATGGGTTACAATAATTGAATGTGTGAGCTCAAAGGGGGTTTCTATACCACCAGTGGTTATCTTAAAGGGGAAAGAGCAACAGGCTACCTGGTATCAAGAATCAGCAGTTCCTCAAAGCTGGTTAATTGCAATGAGTGATAATGGCTGGATAACTGATATAATAGGCCTTCGCTGGCTTAAAGAGGTGTTTGAGCCATACTCAAGGCAGCATTCAACTGGTGCAAAGAGATTACTTATTCTTGATGGCCATTCTAGTCATCAAACTGCAGAATTTGATGCATTCTGCAAGGAGAATGCAATCATCTGCCTTTGCATGCCACCACATACTTCTCACCTTCTGCAACCATTGGATGTTGGTGTTTTTGGTCCACTAAAGCGCGCATATGGGAAGTTAGTTGAAGGAATAATGGTTGCTGGCAATAACCATATTGATAAGGAAGACTTCCTACACCTATACCCATCTGCGCGTGAGAGGGTCTTCATCCAGAAGAATATACACAGTGGCTTTACAGGTGCTGGTCTTAAACCACTTAATGAAGACCGGGTGCTTGAAAAGATTACTTTTCAACTTCGTACACCAACACCACCAATTCTTGAAGGCT